TAATTAATTGCAGCTGTGAAGGAAATTAAGAAACTCCACCTGGTTGAAGTGAGGGCTCTGAACAACCCATCAGGTCATCAAGATGGCACTGGAAAGCATCTGCATGCTAATCGGAGAACCTTACACTGACTGGAAGAGTATCAGACAGATTATAATGAAGGAGAACTTTTTATCACGCTAGTAAAACTTGTGGGCCTTTGGTGAAGTGGGCCATTGCTCAAGTAAGAGAGAGAGAGAGAGAGAGAGAGAGAGAGAGAGAAAGGAGTGTTTTAGTTAAAGTCTGATTTTAATTGTGTATATGGCATTTAGTGATGCATATACATGTTCTTACGTTGTGTAGAAAGTTTGAGCTGATTCCAATTAAATTTGGATTTTTAAATGAATTTTTAAAGTTGCTCAAAAATCGGGTCAAAGTCCCGGTACTATAGTACAGGGGCGTTAGCTAAATTTTGCCAAATATAAAAAGTAGAGAATTCTCAGTTTTTGTAATATTTTCTGATGCATAATACATGTTCTTATGTTGTGTAGAAAGTTTGAGCTGATTCCGATTAAATTTGGATTTTTTAATGAATTTTTAAAATTGTTCAAAAATTGGGTCAAAGCCCCTGTACTATAGTACAGGGGCATTAGCTAAATTTAACCAAAATTAAGAAGTTAAGAATTCTCAGTTTTTGTAATATTTTCCGATATATATACACGTACTTGTCCTTATCTTGTGTATAAAGTTTGAGTTAATTTTTTTCTTATTTTTTCCAAGAGTGTGGGAATATTTTTGGATTCTTTTTATTTAATTTTTGGAATTTTTTTGTATTTTTTCTCATGAGTGTGGGAACATTTTTGGATTATTTTATTTTATTTTTGGAATTTTTTCTGATTTTTTCCGAGAGCATGGAAATATTTTCAAATTTTTATTTAATTTTTTGATTTTTTGTATTTTTTTCTCATGAGTGTGGGAGTATTTTCAAATTTTTTAATTTTATTTTTGGAATTAAAAAATTTTTTTTTCAGGAGGGTGGGAATTTATTTGGATTTTTTTTATTTAATTTTTTGAATTTTTTTTGATACATTTTCCGAGCATGGAAATATTTTCAGAATAGTTTTATTATTTAAAAAAAAATTTTCTGATTTTTTTGGCAGTGTGGGAATATTTTCGGATTATTTTATTTTTATTTTTGAAATTTTTTCTGATGTTTTCAGAGAGCGTGGGAATATTTTTAGCTTTCTTAAATTTAATTTTTGGAATTTTTTCAGATTTTTTAATCATGAGTGTGGAAATAATTTTGAATTAATTTTATAATATTTTTCGAATTTTTTCTGATTTTTTTTCGACAGCCTAAAAATATTTTCATATTTTTTATTTAATTTTTGTAAATTTTTGAATTTTTTTATTTTTATTTTTGGAATTTTTTCTAAATTTTTTCCAACAGCGTGGGAATATTTTTGGATTTTTTTAGAACTAAGAACCCTGTCAGGAAACACTCTCATTATTTCATGCTCAATCCCTCTAGGACGTTGAGAGCTACGACCCAATCCTGAACCCTGTGCTCAATAGAGAAGTAAGGAAGACTGGAGGACGAGTTCATATAACTCTTGTAGATCAGGAGATTGACTTGTCACCTTCTTTCACCATTTTCCTTTCAACGAGGGATCCTTCTGTTGAATTCCCACCTCATCTTTGCTCTAAAGTCACTTTTGTTAATTTCACTGTCACAAGGAGGAGTATACAGAGCCAGTGCCTTAATAGAGTAATAACAATATTTATTATTATTTTAATTTTCATTATTTTGCCTTCTCTCTCTCTCCCTCCTTCCCGCCCTCTCCCTCCCTCCCTCTCCCTCCCTCTCCCTCCCTCTCCCTCCCTCCCTCCCTCCCTCTCCCTCCCTCTCTCTCTCTCTCTCTCAGACTATTCAAGATGACTATGAGAAGTTACTAACTCGTAATATTAATGTCCAGTTCCTTCAAGTACTGGCCCCAGGTGTTGTTCATCCTAATTGCTCCTCTAACAAGACTGGTAGTGCCACTAATGTGTATCCTTCAGCTGGTACTCCTTCTGGTGACAAATCACTTGCCGATGGGGTGGGCATTAATAAGAGTTTCAAAATGGAGGATTTGGGACTTATCTGGTAGACGGTGGATTCACTGCATCACTTCTTATATCCAGGTACTTGATAAATAATGGCTCTCAATAATTAATGATTCTATAAACTTATTACAACAATACATATGCAT